AATATTATTAGAAGATTTTATCAGCTCTAGTTTCTGAGCTTCAGCTATGTAGGTATAAAACAGAAAAACATGTATTTACTAAGAAAAACTTTACTAAAAAAATAATTATTCATTGAGTTCTAAAAAACTTCATTTTAAAGCTCTTCTCTTATGTGTAGACTTTGAAAAATGACGTATCAGAGACCAACCATAGTCAGACATCCTATTTGTGTCTCAGAAACCCTGATAGAGCTCTTCCATGACGCGTAAGTCTTGATGCATACGCTCTTCCTGCTCTTCGCTCATATCTCCTAAATTTTCCGGAAACCTGCCCAGGTGACTATGAAGGAAGTGGAAGTTTATGCTCATAATGCACCTTATATTTTTTAATTGTAGCAGAAGGTCTTCTACAAGTTCAATGTAATTTGCAGATTTTGCAATAAACCATAATTACTATAATGGTCAAAAACAGCTATAAAACTAGTAGGTAAACAAAAATAATATAAAACAAACAAAAATAATAATATAAAACAAGCAAAAATGACAAAAATGAGATCAAAGAAAAATGGAATGAAAACAAAATACCAGTCTCAAACATAAGTTACCATTCTTGTTTTCTACAATATTATCTCAATAAATACTATCACTAATACATTAAGGAACTGTTCAAACTAATTAAAAATAAACTATTAAAATAATAAATAAACAAATAAAGAAAAATATTGCTAATGCCCATATTCTAAAATATTGACATGTTATGTTTAATACATTTAGGAACTGTTGAAACTAAATAAAAATAAACCATAAAAATATTAAATAGACAAATAACGAAAACCACATAATCAAACAGTCCACAGTCCATCACCCCTTCTTATTACTGATTACTAACAGGCTGAATCTTCGTGAGACGAGACGCCCAACTGTTTTCTCTGCGATAATTCTTAATAGTGGTACAGTGATATAGCTAATAAAGTGCTCAACTGGTAATACATTACTATTACAAAATCGCAATATAATTGTAAGCTGGTCATGGTGGGTTATATCAGACGTAGAATCCACGCTTACTGAATAATACTTATTAACTTTAATTTGTTTTACTATTTCCTTTAAAACTTTATTTGATAAAATCGCAAATATCTTTTGATAAATAAGAAACGGTGCCGTTTCCAGGATTTGCAAGTTTCATTATATAATCTTTTCAAAAAGGATGATATTCGGACAAAAGTTCAATCGCACCCAAATAATTGCCGTTATGATCTTCGCCTATCTTTTCATTACTACCTCTAAATGCTAACTCTTGTGTTGCTAAAAATTTTATAACGCTAATAATTCTTTTTAATACGTTAATCCAATACTCCTTTGCTACATTACATACTATTTCAAGTTTATTATCAATTCTTTCAGTAGTAAAAGAGTGCGCAATATATATCCTTAGATTGTTTATATGCTCGGATGATCGTTCATGTTCATCAAACCTTTCTTTATGCCTATTCCAAGATGAAAAACCTCTCTTAACCTGGTTGACTGAACCACCAAATAACATACAATAAAGGCAGTACACATTACCTGTGCTTTCAGAATATATTGCCCAATCTCGACGTAAAATTTCTCAATTCACTAACTTTCTGTGGAACATTTGTTTATTTGCCCACCTGTTTTGTCCTTTAAATGGCCTCTTGGATTTGGAAAAATTAATTTGTTCCAAATTCTGACGTTTCCAAAACTCTAGAATTATTTCAATATCTCGACCAGTGTTCCATAGGGCTGGATCTTTAAAATCTGGTAAAATTATTTCTGAATCTACAATAAAAATAGGTACAAGCTTTATTATTTATATGACGAAATAAAAAAATTGATAATTTAATATTGGTAAATTACCTATATTATACCTACCTAATATTACATCGTTATAGTTGGGCTCTAATTTTGTTTCATGAAGTTCTTCCTGCTCAAGAACTGTAAGATGTTCCATCTTATTCTTTTCATTAACTCCGTCATCATTCGGTAATAATAATGTCAAAGCAAATAAAACCGTATCTGTGCTTATACAAACACTGCTACTCGTACTGGAAGAACCAACAATGCCCACTTCCTCTGGTGCCACAGGTGCCGAAGCAGCATTTATTTGAAAAAAATTTGTTAATGGTGGGATAGTGTCTAAAAAGTTTTGTCGTTTCAGTTTCCTCTTCTTCAGTAGGATCCAGGTAATTTTCATTCATCCATTCTTTAAAACTGATTATTACATATAGAAGTCACGGAGTCGGAATGGTATATACAACAAGTAATTGCTGCAGGAATAAAATACACTTGTACCTCCGTTTTCAAGTGTGTTAAATACGAAAAGATAGTGAAAAAGCAAAGCCACCCCCTCAAACAGTCAAAACCTGACAAAAACCTCCATTTTTTGTTATTTTTTTCCTTGTTAGATTTCAAACCTACTGGTTGAAATAAGAAGAGAATTAGTTGCGATTTTATAGATGTCCCATCACAAGGAAATGTTTCAGTCACATTATATTTCCGCTCTTAATACGTTTTCGAGGATACTAATTCCGAAAAAAAAAAAATAGTATCACGTACTTCGAACCCTTCCCATACGTCTAACATCCATATTAGCGAAAATATTAATTTTTTGTTAATTTTAGAGTAATTCTTAAAAATTTGGATGGCATGTCACATCATTTAAAAGGTAATTTAGAAGATAATAATATTATTTTATTTCTACAAAAATATTGTCCATTAGAAAGAGTTTTAATAATGTAACACTTTTATATATATCTAATGAACTAGTAAGCAACCATTTAAAAAATCGGGCATTTTTTTTTAATAAGTCAAAAATTATATAATTTTTAATAATTTTTAAAATTAATTTTAAATCGACAATTTCATTTAAAAAAAATTCACATTTAATCGACCTTTTATCTCCTATATTAGGCGAGATGCCAAATATAGAGACTCGAATTCGGAACACAGTGTGTACCTTACTGATCTTAACATTACATTACGAAGATCATTTTTGATGATGCACCAGGATGTACATGGATTTAAAAATACTTCGAATGTGCTGCGCAAAACTGGAGTTATCTATTAGCATATTAACACATTTGACTTTCCCTTGATTAAAGGGTGGTTTTTGGCTGTTTGGGGAATGGGAAGAGTTAGAAATACATCCTCAAAAACGAGTGAATACTTTGTAAGAACGAGATATATAAAAAGTCAACTAATTCTCTTCCAAACACTGCAATCTTACAAGCAAAAAAAAATAATTTAAAAAAAGGGTGTTTTTTGAATGTTTGTGGGGGTGGTTTTGCCTAAAAACTTTTTTCACTTAGCACCCTCGATAACGGGGGTACAAATAATGTTCTATATTTCTGTAGCAAATACTTGCCATTTTTTAATTTTTCGACTCCTTGACTCCACTAATATAGAATAGAAATAACGTAGAGTACCGAGTACCTATACCCAAAATAAAATAATATTTAATAATCATATTTTGACTTACCTAATTTAAATCCACATTACTCTCAATAATTAACTAATTCTTATTTTTCGTCCCAATTAAATGAAATCCGAATAAAACCGAGAAGAAAACTTATGCACTTACTAACGCTAAACGCAAGAATAACAAAATGCACTCTAATACTATAATGCAGTGGTTCTCAAACTTTTTTGGTGATGGAACCTTTTTAAAAAGTGAAATATTTGACGGAGCCCTAAACACATTTCGGAAAAAAAGTCCTTCTTGCTCTAGCCTCTTGCCAGGTCCCTCCCGTTTCTTTGCGGAGCCCCTACAACAAAATTTTCAAAATCATATACGCCTTTATCTTCCTGACTTCTATAAAAAAAAGGTCCTTTAACCCAAAATACCACATTCATGTACTCCTTCTTTTTTCTCTGGCATCTAAAAAAAAGTCCTCCAACCCAAACTCACAAAATACCAAACTCTCATATACTCCTTCTAAAAAAAGCAAAAAAATTAAGTTCCTCAAGCCAAGTCCCGTTAATATTAAAATAATATGTCACTACTAGTACTCTACTACCTGCGCACCGCCCTATTACGATTTGCCGCCCGGTACTAAAGTCCCAAATAGCACCCATGTAAAACCGGCACTGTCATCTAACTCATTTTGGGAAAAACATTTTGGCTCTTTAGACATACCTTCAAAATCAGCATCATTTTGTGATGAGCTTGGTCCTTCAATGTCTTGTTCTAAGGGTTCAGATATATTTTTAGGCATTGAAGAATCAGGTGAACGCTGCTCTGGACATTGAACATAACTAGTACTGCCATTTAGCTCGATTTTTAGTGTTTAAACCGTTTACGTTCACGGTACAAAAATAAGATGATTTCGTTGTTCTCGCCAAATAGTCGGTGTTTCAAATTTAAAGGAATTTCTTTTACCACTTTTCCATAATCTTAAATTGTCCACACACGATTTACAAACACAATTGGTTGCCCAAGACTTCTCATTTTCATCCAAGAGCATCCCAAAATACTCAAAATAGGTATTTTTCACCAACTCTGATATAACTTTTCTACAATCGTTAAACACATATTCTCCGCATATATAGCAAAAATTATCTGGATTGTTCAAACAACGTCTCCTTGAACTACTCATGACGCAAAAACTTCAGATACTAATCTTAAAACAGTAAAATACGCCTGTTATCGATTAATATATACGCTTAAATGATAAAAATCAAAAACAAAGAAACTCGAGCTGCTCAAAAAAATTTGAGGTTAGATTTGACAAAAACAAATCATAAGTGAACATTTTCAACCACAGAATTCGCGACAACGGACAAACAGTTAAATTTTGTAAACTAGTGTAATCATTTAATAAAATTTGTCTGACTCCGTAAAAATATAAAGAAAGAATATTTGGCATTCCCCTTGTAGTAATTTGGAAACTAGACTCTATTCCAACAAGGGCGTCCAATGCCAAATCACAAACAGCAGGCTGGCGCCTCCAAGACTCTATTTTCTATCCCTATTCTCTATCGCATTCCCTATCCCGTAAACCAGAAACTTTCACTAGTGTCTGACCCCGAAAAATACTTCGATATGTGTTTTTATATTTTTCTATGTATAAATAAATTATTTTATTGAAAAATCTTTTGGGTAAGTATTTTTTTTATTAAAATTAATAAAATGCATGTAAGTAATAATAAAATGGATAAGTTATGTATTCAATCTTTAAAATATTGTGAGAACGACGTAGATATTTTATAAAAATGTAAAATATAAAAAATATTTAAGTTTCATTAGAAAATATCAAAAGTACCGATAGATGTATATTGTTTACTTTTAATTTTGCTAATAAAAAGGATCAATACGCAGCTAAATAATTTAACCTTTTTGTCCATTGTCAATGTCACAATTACAAAAACTTTTAAACTCTAATTTCGAGCGATTCCACAGGGTTCAGTTTCAGGGCCACTTTAATTTATATTATTTATAAACGATGTTCTTCAAAAATAGTGGTGAATAGAAATTCAGATAATTCTTCGATATCTCTGTTAAAATATATTCTGCATTAGAGTCATTCATGTTTTTTAGGAGTATAGGGGTAATTCAAGATGACCGTTTGCAAGATTATGTTAGATACACCTGGTGTTTTAGGTCCAGGTAGTACGATTTATGGAAGAGTGGTTTGCGTCTTTTCTTCAACTGTTAATATTAGAGGTATTTATTAACTAATTATATAAACGCAATTAAAAAATGGTTATCCGTAAAAATATAATGTTCACACCATATATTTTGTAGAAATAAGATGTAGATTGCGAGGAAAAGAGTACACAACTGTTAGACAAGGAAAACATACTTATGAAGGACTAAATGTATTTCTTAATATGATGCTCTGCCTTACTGGCGAAGGTTGGTATTCATTTTAAAATATATTTCCAATTCTTTTCTTTCGGAAATAATCTGGATATGGTGATCCTCGATTAGACCAGCTATAAAACAAACCTTTCGAATATTGTTAAATTTTGTTAAATTATAAAATTAGAAAAGCATTTTTTTAGGTACAATACAATCCGGCCAATATGAGTATCGTTTCTCTTTCACATTACCAAGACACATACCAAGCACATTTCATGGAGAATTTGGCTCAATATATTACTACTTGAAAGCAACCATCGATATGGCATTGGCGTTTAATTATAAAGACAAAATCACTCTTCGTGTTACTGTTCCTGTAGACTTTAATTTGATTCGACATCGATTACAATTGGTAAGTATATTAAGCATATTACGCAGGATGCTATAGATTTGTGTCGTAGGTCGTGTGTTTTGTCTGCTTTTCATAATAGTCGTGGGTAAAAATATTTTTGATTTTGGCAATGGTAATGGTTATAAAAAATGTTGAGGGAACTCAACATGGGTGCAATCGAAGAAGTTAGCATTCCAATTTTGGACCTGAAAAACTATTAGGTGTGATTATGCGTAGTTTTAGCACAAATTCAATATTTAATCCTCAATATGTGAAAAATATTTGGTGATGCGTATCAACATAGTTTGATAAAAAATATTGCTCTAGATTAGAGCTTCAAACATTTTAAGGGGCTTAATTTTAAATTATGAGACTTTGCTTCCCTAACTAACTAATATATATTGCAATATTTTATTTTCTAAATTCTTAAATGATTATTTAATAACTTCTGGTTTATCCATTAGAAGATTATCTTACTAAAAATTCACATACAAAAGTTTTCATAATATATTTGTGGAAAGTATTGTCAAGTAGGTATTAGAATGGTAATTTTGGAGAAGTTTAAGAGATTAAAGATCTAGCTTTCCTTTGAGTCCATTGAGTTTGAGTTTGATGTTTGGGAAAGAAATATGTGGGAATTAAAGTTAGGTAAGACGTGTAAAAGAAGATAATTAAAGAAATAATATGGTTGAACAATGATGATAAAACCAGAGAAACACAATTAAAAGCAGTATTTTGAAGGCAGATTAAAAAAGTGAGATAATATAAATCAAAAGATACACAAAAAGGCAATAAAGTGTTGCAAGAATTTGAAGACAAAGAGAACTAAGCGCCTGCATAGATCTAAGTAACTGTATTTCCTTAATTTAACTGTTTTTTCAGAAATTGGTATTTTATAGACATGTTTTCATTCATTCAGTCATTCAATTGTTGCTCGTACATAAATATAAAGTTAAAATTTTATATCTCGGTTACGACTTTAAATCGTTGACTATTATAGGTTGAGTTTAAGAGTAAGCTAAATGCTTGAGCTATTCAGTGTGAATGTATCTGTAGGTGAATTTTACAATAAATGGAAAGCGATTATGGATGAGTGTGTACAAAATACAATTTGAAATGCAGTTCATACAACCATAAACCTTGGTTTACAAAGAAAATTAAAGATCTACTAAAATATAAAGAAAAATGTAGAAGATGTAAAAATAAATTTAATAAAATGTGAAAGAAAATAAAAAATGTGATTAGGGTAGGAGAAAGAAAATATATCAAATATATTGAAGATGAGATAGGTGCAGATGAAAAGAAGTAGTTTTACTAGTAACTATTATTCAAAGGGAAAACAATTAAGTCCAATGAAACTGCAAATGCATTAGCAGAAATTTTTATATCAGTATGTGTATTCAACTAATAAATCATCTTATAAGATAGCAATAAAAATTAATGGGTTTAGATTACGAAGAAGCAATTACAAAAAGGCAGCCAGACCAGAGGACATACCTCCTCCATATGTTCTGAAGGCTTGCCGTAAATGGTTAAAGGGACCTATACTTCATATTTAAAATTTAAGTATCTTAACAAACGAATTTTCACTCATGGAAAACTGCAGTAGTTTTTCCCATGTTTAATGTACCTCTGAGGAGAATGAAATATCCGTGTAAAATAATAATAATAATAATAATAATAATAATAATAATAATAATAATAATAATAATAATAATAATAATAATAATAATAATAATAATAATAATAATAATAATAATAATAATAATAATAATAATAATAATAATAATAATAATAATAATAATAATAATAATAATAATAATAATAATAATAATAATAATAATAATAATAATAATAATAATAATAATAATAATAATAATAATAATAATAATAATAATAATAATAATAATAATAATAATAATAATAATAATAATAATAATAATAATAATAATAATAATAATAATAATAATAATAATAATAATAATAATAATAATAATAATAATAATAATAATAATAATAATAATAATAATAATAATAATAATAATAATAATAATAATAATAATAATAATAATAATAATAATAATAATAATAATAATAATAATAATAATAATAATAATAATAATATCTCGAGGCTTCAGCTTCTCACAAGAAAAAACTAATTGCGTACACTTTTGTAGACAAAGACTGGACCATGCAAATCCCGAGCTTCTTATTAATGGCCACCCTATCAATGTAAAGAATAACATGAAGATTTTAGGATTAGTATTTGATAGCAAACTAATATGGACAAAACAAATTGATCAGCTAGTAGCTAAGTGCCAAAGGGCTCTTAACATAATTAAATGCATGGCTAGTATTAAGTGGGGCGCAGATAGAAATATATTAATAATGCTTTACCAATCTGTAATACAAAGTCGGATTGATTACGGCGCAGTAGTATATAATTCTTGTCGCCATTTTAAAATTAGACAGCTTGATAAAATACAGTTATCAGCTTTAAGATACGCAACGGGCGCTTTTAGAACTAGTCCTGCGGTAGCAGTCCAATGTGATGCGACAATACTCCCTTTAGACCTTAGAAGGGATTCACAAACTATGATATATGGCTCTAAAATACTATCAAAGTCATCCCACCTAAACCTATCCAACTTCTGTTCTGATAATGAATTCTCAACAAGGAGATCCACAACACGACCTGCAAGAATTCGCAATAATGAAACGTGCCGAAAGTATTCAATATGTCAAGAGAACATTCTTTCTGATCATCCTCCACAGATCCCTCCATGGAATGTATCCCCCCCAAAGTTAAATAAACGCCTAACTTATTGGAAAAAGGACGAAACACCACCCTCTACTTATAGAATGCTCTTTAATAAAGAGTTAGAGTCTTATCCAAACAGTTTGATCATATACACTGACGGGTCGAAGAGTGACATTGGAGTTGGTTCAGCTTTTGCGGTAAACGGTGACCAATACAGTTGGTCATTAAACCCTGCATGCTCAATATTTACTGCAGAAATATATGCTATTTGGCAAGCCCTCCTATACTTCTCATCGACGCAATATCAGAACTGCCTAATCTGTTCTGATTCGCTAAGCTCTATCACATCAATGGAAAATATATTTACAAAAGATATTCTTTGTCGTCGAATATTAGAATTAAATACTCATCTTACCTCATTAGGTAAAACCTGCACAATTCTATGGGTCCCTGGCCATTGCCAAATCCGTGGTAATGAAATAGCTGACAACTCTGCAAAGGTAGCATCAGGCTCTCCATTTGACGATGGTATCCCAATTCCGTTAGAAGATCTAAAATCATATATAAAACACAAAGTACAATTGACATGGCAAGAGCGATGGACAACATATGTTGGCCATTTGGCTAACATCAAACCTAATATCAAGAAATGGACTTACCCTAGTTGTTTGTCTAGGCGAGAACAAGTTGTAACCTGTAGACTAAGGATAGGACATTCTCACCTCACACATTCATATCTCCTAGGAGGAAATCCAAGACCTAGATGTGAACACTGTAATGCCCGCCTTCTGATAGAACATTTATTTACATGCCCAGGATATCAAGTACAGAGAATCCATCGAGGAGTGAACCCTGAAATAAAATATGCGTTAAATGATGAAAAATCCATTAAATGTACACTTACCTTCTTAAGCGATGTTCAACTATTTAACCGCATTTAAAAACGCGTAACGCGGCGAATGACCTTAGCAGTCGATGCCGCAAAAAAAAAAAAAAAAAAAAAATAATAATAATACTCTCCCTAATTCACCCCCTTACGAGTGAATTTTAACCCCAAAAGCTGAGCTTGTGCGGGGAAAGGGACGGCGGGATGTTTAATATAATCTTCTATTAGCTCTTACCACGAAAATGGACTCCATCTCACCGAAATATATCTTTCATAAGCCATATAAAAGTTATAATAGAACAAATAGAAGAGCCGGAAGTGGCAGGTACGATTCATATCTACACCGACGGTTCTAAAACAAAACAAGGCTCAGATTCTTAAACCTAAACCTAAAATGGGCTGTGAGCAATTTATTAATAAAAACTAAGTGCCTTCGCCAAAAATTGCAATGCTTCGTTTAAGGGCATAGTAGTGCATTTCAGAATTATAATTCATTACGACTGATGACGGCCCAAAGAGGTGTTTCGGAGGTTTTCTCACTTCATCTAATATACGGAAAATAAAGACCGTAATTGTCCCAAATAAGGCTTAACCCAATTATAGTATGACTTAATTTCTTGAAAATGGTTTATTATTTATGTATTTTGTAGCTTTTATCCGGTAATAAGACCGCTGGCCCTTTTTTAAAATAAATAAATAAATTATACATTTTATCCTATCGGTAATATAGTTTTTTTTCTGTTTTAGAGTCCAGTAATTTATCAAAACGAAAAAACGCTGTGCTGCTGGTGCTGCACAAGTGAACCGATAACTCTGAGTTTATTTGTTGAAAAGGAAGCATTCACTTTAGGTGAAATAGCTAATGTTATTGTGGAAATTATTAATATGTCCAATACGAACGTTGAGGAATTTAATCTTTCACTAATAAGGGTAAGAAAATTGCTATAATATTATTAAAAAATGCGCAATGCCATACTTGTCCCACGAGCGAGCAATTTTGTGTGTTTAATCTAAGAGTTCATTTTTTTTATAAATTTTAACTCATGTTTGTATTTGACGACGTTGACAAGATTAATGTCATTATTTTAATGCAGACATACATGATCTTTCCAAAACAAAAAGTTTCCTAAGAACCTTTTCACAAACGATTGATGGTCAGCCTGACGCTCAGTAGGTTTTACCATCGGCGTCCTGACTGAATTAAATGTTATCAATAAATTTTTTTCGTCAGAGAATTTAGGTAGATTACAGATTAGCCACGTTAATAAAAAGAAGAATAGAAGTAGAAGGAGAAAAAATTATCGGAGAAAACCAATGCGGCTTAAAAAAGGCAGGTCCACGACTGACCAAATCTTTATTTTAAAACAGGTACTCACATGTTGCTACCTACCCATATTATATTAGGTTTATTGATTTTAAAACCTCTTAAACTTGTAAAACTGATGAACATGACCCTGAAAAATGCAAGGTGTGCAATAAGAGTAGGAGGTGAGGAAACCGAAGAATTTGAAGTCCAAAACGGGCTTAGGCAGGGAGACTCATTATCCACCCTTCTTTTTAACTTAACCCTTGAAATAGTCATCAGAAACAGTGGAATAAACAGATATGGAACCCTAATCAACAGATCCCACCAAGCGTTAGCATACGCAGATGATGTCGTACTGTTCCCGAGAAGCCAAAAAGAACATAAAAACATAACAGAACAGTTATTAGACGCGGCAAGAACAATGGGACTAAGAATAAATGAAAGGAAGAGTCAGTACATGCAACTAAAAAACAAACATTTAAGTAAACATCCTGGAAAGCTAGAATTACAAACTAAAATCATAGGAAAAATAACAATAGACGAAACAGACAGTTACATGTACCTCGGTGTTCTCATTACAAATAGATGCGATGAACAAGCTGAAATAGATCTCCGTCTAGCAAAGAGCAATAGATGAGCAGGAGCTTTACATAATTTACTAAAATCTAAACAATTGTCATGGGCAATAAAGAAATGTGTGTACAAAACAATAATCAGACCTTCAATGCTATACGGCAGTGAGACATAGACCCTAAATAAGAAAGAACAGAACAAGATTGAAATATGGGAAGATATTGAGAAGAATATATGAGGGGAAAAAAGGCAGAAGAAGGATGTGAAAGATGAACATACAAAGAAATCTACGAAATATTTAACGAACCCAACATATACGAAATAATACAGTCAAAAAGGTTACAATGGTTGGGATAGAAGATATTAAGGAAAAAAAGATCATCAACTGGAAAGAAAAAGCCAAGAACAGGGACGAATGGAAGAAACTAACCAGGCCATAGACATAAACGGTCTGTTCCGAGCCTTAAATATATACTACTATATTAGGGCTTAGTTATCATTGTGAGATATTTAATACCCAATAATCTATTGATAAAACCAGAATATATCGTAATATAACAACTGTTAATATCGTTTTTATATCCATTTGTAACTGCAACAATATATTTTTACAAAGTTGTAAATATTTAAAGACGTTTTTTAATTATGGCAAATTTTTAATTTTCATTTAAAACTTTTAACACCCTGTATCTCAATAACTATGCTTTTTAAGGGTTCATGTTTCTAAATCAAAATTCATCAGTTAACGAGAGGTTTCTGTAGTAGAGCGTTTTCGGTCGAATATAATAACACCCTGTATAAAAACGGTATAATATGTTAGAATATGTAAAAGTTTAGTTTTAAAAAAACGTAGTAGCGTCAGCGTAACCCTTTTATAACTTTTGTATTACTTGGGATGGCATACCATCATCATTTTCATCATCATTCACATACCTCTTTCTCGTCATCACAGTCATTGATTGTAATAGAACAATTCACATATATCATGCCGGTTATTTGCGTTTTTACAGCAGTGTTTTCCAAATATAAACGTAACTTTCTTTGTTCTGATAATCTTTTTTTCACAACGCCACGTTCTTCTGCGCTATGCAATAAGATTTTTACAACTGATCAAACTCATGCTTGTAAACGCAAGTTAGTTGCTTGATAATCAGTTCATCATGATCATCAGGACTGATGATCAGTCGTTTGTGAAATGGCTCTTAGTTTAGAGAAATGCTTAGATCGATAATCACATTGTTCACAGAATAATACCAACTATAATATTTATTTCAGATAACGGAATATTTGGCAGAAAAAGATGGAGGCAAGCATATTAAAGTTAAAGAACGTCTTACTAATGAAACAGTTTCAGGAGTTGGAGCACACGGACAAAGGACTTACCGGATAGACTTTCTAATTCCTCAGACGGTCCCGGTGTACAATTTTACCTCTTGTTGCCTAATCAAGCAGTATTTCATTATTGCCGTAAGTATTAATAATAATACTAATAAAAATTATAACAATAGTGGCCTCCCGGGGCGACTTAAAGATGCTTGATGGATCCATTTGACTTACAGGTGAGGAAAGCCCTCACCCACCATCATCAAAACGGTAACGCATGGCTATTTTTATAATCTGAATGTCATATCAACAGAAATTGAATTTCTGCTAATGCAGCATCTATCAAATCCTATAAAGAACCATGCAAATAAACTCACATGGTCTTCAATACGATTAGAAGCCAGTGCGTATCTTACCACGAAATTGCGGGCGTGTTAGAGAGCTATACCACCGATCCGATAGTGAGCCATGACTAAATAAATAAACTAGAGTCGATGATAATATCATTATAGTTGAAAATTAATATTTGATAGCTAAACTTTATAAAACCAATGAATCCGGTGGTTTAATTTTTATATTTCTTTGTAGGCTGAAGCTACACTACCAGCGCTCCATCAAAACTTTTCTGCCTATTCTACCATTGAACTTGGACATATTCCTTTGATGGATACGCATAGTTTTCAGGCAGCTTATGTGGGAATTGAAGGTTAGTATACCTTAAGAGTTAAAAATAAAATAATCTTAGTGTCAATATGGTTCTTTGTTTTGTTACATTGACATATATAGTGTTTCGTGGTTTTATCATCCTCTTCTCTTAAATATTTAAATAATTTCCCATTTTAAAAAGTCTTAACTTTGTTTTAAAGATGATGAATATGATCATGAGTGTTACTAGCACATAAATTTACTGGATTATTAAAGCTCACTGCGATATTATTCAGCATTTTAAAAGTTTTATACATATTAGGTGCTAGATTTTCCATTTTCCCCTATCCTTAGCAATTTCGGTCTAGTTTATTATTTTCAATGTCTTTAAATCTCCTACTTTTTTTACCTTACTCTTGTTAAGCAAATTTCTGTCCATTACCTTCTTCACTATCACTCCCTCACCCACTCTTCAGATATACACCAATCACCTTATTCTTTAAGCTTTCACTATTTGATATCAAAGGTTCTTTGTACAACTCGTATAGTTCTCTATTACACCTTCTTTTCTAAACTCTATTTACTATCTTCCCTCTTCACCCTAAAATTATGACTCAATATCTTTCTTTCTCATATCTCAAATCTATTTGTCTATATATTTAGTTGGATCCCGTGTCTCACAAGCCTTGGTTACTGTCCGTCTACTTACAGTCTTATGTACTCTTACTTTGGCATTTCCTAGATATATTTTTTTATTTTAATATACTATTATAATATACTTTTTTATAATACTCTTTTAATATACTTTTATTATACTCATTTAGTATACTCTACTCTTTTAATATACTTTTTTAATATACTTTTTCAATATACTCTTTTTTTTCTTCCTTATTTCCATCTTCTTGTTATGATACATATATGGTCCCCAAGTATTTATACCTTTCTATTCTTTCTATTTCTAGGATCTTGTTCTGAGCAACTTCTTCTATTCTTTATTTACGGTTTCTCCGTTTCTTCTGCATAAAATCTATTTCTATGTATTTTGTTTTTGTTCAATGCTTCTGCCTGGATTTGCACTGATGACTTTTAAAATATATTATGGATTTATTCGTTTGTATATTACTTTTTTACCACATGATCTACTATGAAATTAAACAGCACTGAAGAAAGTTGGTCTTCTTGTCGCAAACCTTGTTTTACTTACCATCAAAATTTGATGAAGGCCTTAAAGGTTTTATGTTGGGTGTCATTTAATGTCATTTTAATTATCTTAATAATTTTTTAAACAATATTTTGTATATTTGTGCTCCTTTTATGCTATCGTATGTCTGTGTGACGTTGACTACATTAAATCTGTAGGCTGGCTCACGAGATAGGAGGTGCCTATCATCGTAGGAGGATGCACAATGGGCCTAATGAGGCCCAAGTGTCGTGGAGGGTAACCCACTCTCCACACGTTACAGATACAGATGCATGTGTGAAATTAATGAATACTGCATGAAATTTCATTCGATGTTCTTTGTCGCTTTATTGTATTTGTCTTGTATATGTTCTATAATTGATTTTAAGGCGTTATTTAACGAAAATATCAACTGTGTACTTCAAATTTAGATCAATTATTAGAATATATCACGTACATACTGTGAAATGTAATTTCTTTTTCCTTTTGTTTAACTTGTACAGTCATAAGCTAAACACACCACCATTGTAATCACTAAATAATAACACTGGCTTTAAGTTTTCGTTAAAAACTTCAAAATATTTATGGTTATTCTGGTACCAAAAAAATGGCGGCTGATCGATATTTGGCCGCATTCTCTAAGATTCGGAAGTTACCCCAGGCTAGGGGATTTTTAATAGGGAAATGCCTACTCGTGTTGTAGTACTGTGCACCATACATAGATGGCGCTACTTTGCACAAAGTTTGCTAACTAGCAAAATGCAACTGCATTCGTCGAGCAGATTCCCGAGTGTGTTCAGAGCAGGTTCAGAGTAACTCAAGTGTACACAAGTTGTTATTCAAAACTTTCTCCATTTTGTGATAAAGTTGATTTGTTTTATTTGGCTAGTGTTTCGAAGAGAGGATATGGTCGTGGGTTACCCTTTTGCCTAATTTTTGGATGATAATAATAAGACGTACGTTTCTTGGTGAATATCCAATTGTCACTAGGATAATTAGACCTATATGTGGGATTTTAAATCGTTTTTTACATATTTTCTAAGATTGTCTTCCTTCCCTCACAAATACTAGTAAAATTTTGTTTTAAAAAAAAAGTAACTTTAGTAGCTCATAAAGTCTTTTGTTTTTTCAGTTGAAGATGAAGACCTTAATCCCGAAGGGCTAAATCCTTGTGCCATGTTTTGAAATGTACCTATTTAAGACCCGAAATAATGTATTAATTTTAGTCTTGTAAATGTAAAATAAACATTTATAAAAAATAGTTTGTTTTACTTACTTCTACCTAGATTTTTATTTATTTTCAGGTAGAACTCTTCGTGAGTTGGAAGTTCCTCCTCCGAGGTATAGTTCGCTGTCACTTTGTGATATTGCAGAAAATGACGATGAAGATAATTCAGAAGAAAATGTCGATGAAGAAAATACATAGCAGTTCGTTTTCTATAGCTCAAACTGTCGTATTTATGATTCAACGTGAATTTTTCAAAATTAAAATGTTACAAATGTAAATTCAAACTATGTCAAATTATTACTTTTTGTAGTTCGAAAACTTAACCCATATTCGACACTTAAATTTGTGCGATAAAGAAAGCAATATGATATTTACCCTATCTACACCAAATCGAACAGCCATGTTGCCGCTTTCCATTTATTTTGAACTACATTTATGTAAATGACAGGTATAATTTCACACTGTGGCAACTTTTATGTCATTTAGCGGGGTCAGGTATTATTTTAGTGTCGTATATCTGGGTTATAATGCTTTTAATACCCCAATAGAAGTTTCAATTATTTTTACTAAACTTAGATCACGGTGAATGACAATTATTATAGGTGTTTCAACTTCCCAAAAATCCCATATAAAAATAAAAGACGATATGGCACGAAACACAACGTAGTACCAAAAAATCCACCAGAGGTTGTTGTTATTTTAAGTAATGCTTTTTTCATCTTTGTCGAGGTCTAATTATTTTAGTCTAGTCTAATTTAGATATCAAAAGTAGAAGTGAACGATGTAGAAATAAAATAATAAATTGCTGTTATAGGCTTTTATAACATTTTATAGATAAAGAAAAGAAACGAATAAAGGTACATATTTTAAATTTTTTAAGTGCGTATGTCTGTACATTACATTTTATTAGAATTAGCACTTCGGCTGTTAAGACATCATTCGGATATTATAAATATAAACAAGAATGGAGTGATTGATAATAATTTGTTCTTTTTTACATTTATAATGCAAGCTCTTGGCGAATACTAATAAAATTTCCACGCTTGAAAAAACCTACCTACCTTTCCTTCGTTTTTCTTTATCAATACGTGCGTAGCTACACCTACAAACATTGATTTATTTTGTAAATGATTAAACTAGTACAAGTTAATGAATCGATTGAAAACAATCCTCAGCGTATATATAATAAAAAGTTTAATACAACATTTATTCATGAAGATAATAAGGTTTGCAGATTCAACATTTTTGTACCTACCTTTTTATTAATTTGCTTTGTTATAAGAACCACACTTTATTGCAATTAGGAGATTCCTCCCTCCATAAGAGATTATTTAGGACTGGTAACAAAATAAGCATATATCTTTGCAATGTGTTTATTAATTATCTAAAATGTGGCAGTTATAATTTAATACCTACTCTTCTGTAAACAACTTTAAAATGTCACGTAACTCTTATTTTTTCAAAATACATTTGAACAATATTTAAAATTTTGTAGGAAACAATTCACACTAGTTTCCTTATTTAATTATTGTTGCCTCGTACATTATAAAAATGATGAAAAATATAGTAATGTTCTTACTTTGTTTTGATGAAATAAATGGGTAGTTACTATAAGTATGTGGTAGTATTTTTTTTCTCGTTGTTTTCACTTTTCATTTCGTTTGTTACAAAGTGTACGATTAGTAGACATTATTAAATTACCATTATTTTAAAAATAATTGGATACAAACGTAATTTTCACTTGATAAATATAAAATTAACTAAATTTTTCTGAGAGTTCGCAGTCATTATTTGTTTTCATTTGCGGTACCTCACCTTTCATCGATCTCTCGATGATTTTTTAGTATAATGCACTGTTTAGTGCCGTATTTTAAGAAGAGGTGAAACACCTATAAATGTCATTCATAGTCCTAAAAACATCCCAACAATGACGTTTTAAACAAGTCCTGAGCAGGGCGTCTTAAAACAGTCCGTTTTACGTACCAGGACGTTTGGACGAAAGTAAGACATGAACTAGACGTCTTTAAGATGTAGTGTGCTCTCTAGCTATTATTAAATTAAGCTAGTAAGAAAAATTATGCATAAATGAAGATAAATTTATTACTGACCTTTAACTAATACTAATTTGGTACAATAACAAGAAGTTTTAGCGAACAACTCTTTTCTTATATCTTTTAAGTTTTTGTTTAAGAACTTTGATTTGTCTTGTTTTTTTCTTTATTCTTTTCTAGCTGTTGTAAAAGTTGCCTTTTAAGCTATTTTATTCTAGGGCTTTCTAGGATAGATTTCTTATTTGAAGGACCTGGCTCAGCTTCCAAATGCAAAGCTCTTCTTTTTAAGTACTACAAACAATCAATTATTACGGTAATGTTTTGAATTATACACAAAAGGGTTGCTAAATTCTTAAAAGTTCATAACGTAACAATGAAAAGTAATTAAAAAAATATATATGTTTAATTATGTTTATTAGTATACGCATCTTCTTCGGCTGCACGTATTTAGAGAATTCAGGATATATAGTGGGAACTGATCCATTTAGTAAACGTCTTTTACAGTTCGTCCCATAAAAAAAAATTCCTCAAAATGTTTTGAACACTATCTATCATTTGGCGTAGGCATCCAATTTTCAATTTTCGTTGCCTGAATTCAAATATTTTTTTGCTGGATTCACAGGAAATCTAAAATAAAACAACAAATAAACATTGCTGCAATTAAATAAGAAGCAAAAGTAAATTAGGATTTAAAAAAAGTTAATATTCAGGATTTTATGACACGCCACTGGAAAAAATTACATGTTTGGCCATTTTAATATCATTAATTGCTTAAATATCAATGAAAAGCATAAAATAAACAAACTTGGTGGGTAAAATTTATTACTCTGGAGTAAGACACGTACAATATGTATTGTATATCAAGTTGTATAATACCAAATAAAATGAAAAATATAAGAAAATATATAAAGTGAAAACGATTGATGTTTATCATTTACCTGTAAAACGTAATATCTGCTTATTCGCTGCCGCTATAACTTTAACACTGATATGCCACACAATAAACCACTGTAATAAACCAATGCCGTTTAATTCAGAAATCAGAAATAAACACGAACAAAAACTTTGGTGTCACCGAAATGATTAGCACCAAAATAATGGCGGTCAGTAGATAATCGGCACAGAATACTACCAGCCGTATTCATAGTCGATCGCCAGCGATTCGCCAGAGATTCATTTCGGCGTATCGCCAGGTTCGCTGGCGATCCGCCGGCGAAAGCCCAAAAAGCTGGCGGCTCGCCGGAGATTGTCACCGGAATGTCATTTCACGAAAGTTTTTATGTTCTTTTATAGGGAAAAATTTGATATTCGTTCATTATTTTTTGAGTTTTAAGAAATGAATCATGAATAAAATGCGAGAGATACCTACCGGTGATAATCCCTATAAAAGAAAATAAAAATTTGCGTGAAATGACATTCCGGTGACAATCTCCAGCGAGTCGCCACCTTTTTGAGCTTTCGCCGGCGGATCGCTGGCGATACGCCGAAATGAATCTCTGGCGAGTCGCTGGCGATCGACTATGCATACGAATGGTGTGTGCTCGATATACTTGTTACGCGTCCTCTCTTTATTACCTAGTCTAAGAAAGAAATACAACGCAACGTTTAGTTGTTATTTTTGTTTCAGTACACGTCTCATTGCCTATATGAGATTGTTTATAATTTTCTATGAAATGTAGATTTTTCAATCATAAAAGTGTAACCAATCATATAACACAAATTTGCTTTAATTTTCATTAATGTTCATTAATAACAAATAATAATGACAAACACTTCATATAATAAAATTTAAAATTATTCTACAACATTCCGTTTTTTAAGAATGTTTTGTTTCCTATATTATGTCAATTAAAGAAGGATGGGACTATTATAATGAAGTCAACAATGAACAACTACTAGACCAATTTTGTTTACAAAAACTGAATTACAAGCATTTATAGATAGATAGATAGATAGATAGATAGATATAGTATAGATACAAGGATTGCTTATGGTTATAATTCGAAATTTACTTTACAGAAGGCTCTAAAACACACAAAATACTATCAAAATTGTACTGTTAAAGTCAGTTATTAGTATAATGTTTGTTTATAGTTGTAACTATTATTAGAGCTTAAAGTGAGTTACAGGAAAGTATTTTGCAATGTGACAACGATGTAAAGCAAGCATCTTAGTAATACGAGCTGGATCAATAAAAAAACGCATGCTCGCACAAACCTTTCCGCTGAATTTAGTAGGCGTCTCGCTCTTTTTAATGCAGAAGCCGATACGACAACTCTGTCTGCCTAACAAAAAACACGAGTTGATTATCTGTAAGTAAACAAGAGCTTAATTATGAATGAAGATATCAGTCTAGTAATTTTTTGTCGTTGACTGGGGTATTAAAAACAGAATTGAATTATTTAGTATTGACTGTTAACTTTTAAATAATTTTTAACAAGAACTGCAGTCATTAATATAGGTAGGTACCTTTATACCAAATTGCCATACAAATTAATTTTCATTAATTTTGAGCAATGCTTGTTTTTTGGTCGTGGTCATTTTTACCATAGAAAAGATTTGGTGCTTCAGAGTTAAAGGCTAATTCTGTACCTATTTGTATTACTCAGTAAGTAGCCAAATCATGATTGACTGTTCAAGTTCGTCCAATTTCAATGGCCAAAATTATTAAAAGACGTGTTAAAGATTAAAAAAAGTGTTAAGATCAATATTTTTAAACAGTGTCTTAAATGTTATTCTTTTCAAAGTAAAGAAATGTACTCGCAAAATTAACCGCAAACTAGATTTTTCAGAAAAATAACGATAACAAACAAAATAACTTCAACTAATAATGTTTACTTTAAATACATTTTTTTACAAAATAAACTAAAATTTGATTTCATACTATCAAAAATAATCTTTGAAATTTGCGGGACGAAAATCAAATGTCCGGTTAATTTTGCGTTCCAGTATAGATACTAAATATACAATTGTTAAAAAATTTAAATTTAATAAAGAATTCAAAAACTTTGGTCTGATTTAATCCACGTCCCACGTTAGAACATTCTGTTATAATAATTATAGTGCCTATGGTAAATTATAATTTCTTAAAACGTTAAAATTTTGTAATGAAAAATTTGTAGTCGCAGCTTGGAAGTTCTTTCTAAATTTATCAATATTAAAATATTATCTGTGATTTTTTTAAACCACATAAATGTGCTGTCTTTAGTAAATGCCCAACTTCATCAGAATATTAGGTGAACATTTTTAAGAAATTTAGTTTTAAACACAACCTGGTAAATATAATATGGAAATACAATAACTGAACATACTAATCACTAAATGAAAACAAAAACAAAAATATAATGGTTCCATTCCGGAAGTATCAAACCATTCCAATATCCTAAAGCTTTTAGGGTAACGACTCCTATGGCTCCCTAAAAAAACATAAATACTAAATAGTAATGACTAAATAAATTTTGAACTATATGGTCTAAATACCTAAAAAAATTCGGTTCTAATACTTATGCCTTGCCTGGCTTTCTGATTCCGGTTCTGAGCCTTTCACTGTTCTCCTCTGACTACTACTTTTTCTTTTTTACAATATTCTTTATAAATCAAATTATCTTTGTACGTTTTTGTATTTTTCTAAACTTTATTTAGCTTTATTCAACACCATTCAACTTTATTCAACTTTCTTCAACTTTCTTCAACTTTATTCAACTTTATTCAACTTTATTCAACTTTATTCAACTTTATTCAACTTTATTCAACTTTATTCAACTTTATTCAACTTTATTCAACTTTATTCAACTTTATTCAACTTTATTCAACTTTATTCAACTTTATTCAACTTTATTCAACT